TTTTTTTTTTTTTTTTTTTTTTTTTTCTAAGGTGTGATCATTTGGCCTCCCTTCTTCCTCATCTACATTTTTGACATTTGGTAATCTTGTGTCTGTTTGCAGAATGCTCTACGGAAAGGTAGCTGGGGATGGAGAAGGGCGGTTGCCGCATTTGGCCCGGGGATCCTCAGAGATGACAGGGAAGTAAACCGGGAGGTGCTCGGGGACTTGGTGTTCAAGGACGTCGAAAAGCGGCGCAAACTCAATTGGTATGGTTAATTCCATGGTTAATTCAAAGTACACTGATGTGTATTCAACAATTCCATGATACTGATGTGCACTCGAGGCACTTGCAAAACGATAAAACGAGACCGGAGCAAGCGGTGCAGTTGGTTAGGCAGTGATAGGCACACACAAGTGGCATTTAGGAGGTCACGGGTTCAATCCCCACGGACCGCCTGGCGCATGCTTGGTGCCAACCAGCTCAGATAGTCGGCTTGCTCCCCCTGGTTGGTATTAGTAGGGTCTATATAGACTCTGTACCCAACGCAGGTGTGAGTATGTGTGGGGTGCGTAGGAGAGTGGTTGCCTTAGACACTGCTGTTACTTGCTGGGAATGGGGGAAGATGAAAAAGGAGGTGCAGCTACTGGCAAAATGCCCGGTCGTTGTGTTTAGCCGGGCCGCCACCAGGAACCTGCACTCCTAAACCAGTAGGGCAAGGGGCAACAACGTGCAATCCCTTCATTGCAGGCCGCTACGCTTGCAGGGATCACCTGTATAGCCTTAGTAGTAGTGGTAGGCTGGGTTGTCACGCGGGTAGCCCTGGGGCCCGAGCCGGGGTAGGGGATCCCCGGGTGACAACCCTGCCCCCAGTCTGATAGTTGTGTAGTTCGCAATCCTGTCTCTTATACACATCTAGATGTGTATAAGAGACAGCGGCAGCCAGTGCTAAAAGCTTTGACTATCACGCTAAATTGACTATCTAGACTGTTTGGGATTTTTCCCAAACTGTTTGGTAGATTCCCACGCGTTACGCAC